AAACAAAAAAAAAAAGACATTCAGATTATTGTGTTTTTTTAAGTTTATCATTTTAAATATGAAATTTGTAAGGATAACGTTAATCATGTTACGATATAAGACAGCGAATATTTTATAATAAAACTTTATGGTGTACAATTCTGATAAGAATTGAAAATTAAGAAATAAAAACAGAGACAAAAGACAAAAACAAAAAGCTGTTTTAGAAGGCCATCCATCAGGACACGATCGTTCGCGGATTAGTCGACGAGTTGGTAAACACACGTGGTGTAGCGTACGTGTGTATCGGTGCCAAAGTAAATTCTGTGATATCGAAAACACTTTTCGCTTGATAATCGCTTAATCACTCTCTGACGAGTTGTACGTCGTGTCGCAGAAGAAGTGGGAGAGCGTAAACGGCACGTAGATATTGGACCATGACGCGGCATTTGTTCGAACGACACTTTGCGTTATAAAGTAAATAATGTATATCCGCTCTTAATAAAGTAAATAATGTAAGTAATTTTCAAGCGACGGTAGAGTTTATAGGTGTGGAAAACATTTTTTTGCGATTCGTCAGTCTGATTCTCTGATTTTGTAAGAGGATATTCAATTTTATAACAACGAGAATAAGAATTTTATAAAGTCTCTTGAGTATGTAATATATATGTGTTGTAAAACGTATTCTATTGAATTTATTGTTGGAATAATAAAATAACTACATATTTATTAGGTATAAGAAATATATTACACGATTTAAGAAAACCGTTAATGTTACTTTTCATTGCTAAGATTTTCCTAAATTTCGTAAATTTCTCCCGATCCGCGTAAATTTTAGATAAAAATTACGTAATCTTTTTCTCAATTGTGCGACGACAATATATTGAGATAATAAAATAAGATTAGAAGATTTGTTGATGACAATCGATTATGGGTCTTATCGATAACACTATACGTAACTGAGATATTTATTTTACTATGATAAATTCGTGTCAATATTATACGACTAAAAATTGTAATGTATAAAAGATACAGGCCACTAATCATGAAATGAATAAAAAATGATTTTGGGATGATATTTTTCGAAATAAATTCTTTACATGATTTAAAAAGGATGCTTATTAGTATCAAAAGTTAAATCGATTATCGTGAATTTACTGTTGTTTCAACAAAAAGCTGTGTTTTAAGACTGACAAATAATCAGCGCGCAGTTTACTGAGTTAAAAAAAAAATTTACACAGAAATATTATTATTATTATTATTAGGCCACCAAGATCGAGCCCGAACAAAAATGGCATCTTCTCGGATTAATTGAAAAATAAATTCGTAATTTTGATAAACTGCGACATATAAACGCATTTGTATTTTCTCTGTTGGGATATGTCATTGATTAACATATACATATGTATGCATGATTGCGACGTGTGATCGTGAAGTAGGTGAAAAACAGATCTTTTGTTAGTGCCAAAAACTGAATTTGTCAAATCCGCGTCAAATGCTTGTTAAATACGCCACTATACATGTATCGATATAGACTTGAGCATGTATATGTAATGGAAGTGTGTTGATTATGGGTCTGTGGGAGAGAACGATCGTTTCGTCTTTGGAACACGTGTGTTCTTATCAACGATCATTTCTTTCGCGACTTACGATAACAGTTTTGCGAAGCGTAATTTCTGTCCGATGGCAATTCTGTCTCACGGACCTCGACGGTCTGCCTTCGATATTTTTGTAGCTCTCCTTGCATGCAAGACTTGTAATATACGCCATACAAGTGAAATAAATGTCAAAAGAATGAGATTAGTTAATTATTTCCCTACAGATTATCGTTTTTTAACTACCGACTGACTTTAAGAGCCAAAATGTTATACAAGAGATCTTATCTCGTATTATCCTATATGTATATGTTTTTTCTTCGGAGTTCTTTATTACATTACCACCAAGAGCGCGTGTATAAATTCATAAATTGTATGATGCGTAGGTATTAAGTATATGTGATTACCTGCAAGCTGGATTTATAAGTTCATCAAGTCTAAATAATCGAGCAGATCAAGTCATTTCTGCGGCATCGATGCTACTCGCGCAACATACAGATCGCGACATCTTGCGTGAGTATCAACTACTTAACTTTATATTTAAAAACGCTATAACGCAGGTATTTTAAATTGCGCGATAAATTATCACGATTTTATATATGCAATTTGTTACACTGATTTGCGTAGAAAAGAAAACATCTATTTAAAAAATATATATATTTCTTCTTCTGCGATGAGACAGAGAGAAAGAGAGAGAAAGTGTATACAATGTATGTGTGTGGTGTGTGTATGCATTTAAATATAATTTTATTTATATTAAATTTAAAACTGTAATATATCACTTTAAATTACGCGTTTGGAATTTTGCATCATCTAAATGGCAGTACCAGAGAGAGGCCATCCCGGCTTTTTTCGTAGGATCGTCGAAAGCCCCTGTACACTACCGCCAGTACTACGTAGCCACGTTCATTTTCCGACACTGCCGATGACTGCCGATAAAACATCATTTTGGTGCGCGTCCATGCTACATCTGCAAATGCATATATAGTGTTATACGTAATAACGCGTACGCACCAATACATTTGCAGATGTAACGCGGATGCGCACCTAGGGACCGCGCGTATTCTCGAGCCTGCCCTAATAATTTTCGTATGCTCTGATACAGACTAAAGACGATGCACGCACAGAGAAGCGTAATCAACCAATCATCATCGAGAGTTTTACAATGGCGGTCTATTTGCTCTCGAGGATTCTCGATTGTATATATAAATGGTTGAGGATCAGTTTAATATTTATATATCTAAATAAATATCTAATAGCTCGGGACATAAAACATCTAATTGTAAGAGATGTGTAAAATATGTCTTTTAGACGTCTTATGTCCTGCTTTTGGACATATGTGTGCTGTCTGGGTTTATTTCAAATAAAATATGTATCTCCTATCAATTTAAGAATTCGAATACGGGACAATTAGGCCTTTATGGAAAATTTTGTAAGCAAAACGAATAATATTTGGCGAACAAGCAACAGAGAATGTTTTGTAGTTATGTAGTTGATATTCATACGCATTTTGAAGCAAGCTCTTTCCCTCATTCGTGATCGTTTGCGTAGTTTGCGATCCCAACAAGCAAAGTGCGACTTGAAATGCGCGATCGTTCTGCTCAATCACTCAATTAATCATTAATTCCCGCACTTAACGAGAGATTCTAACTATTCATTGAAGCGTCTTTCCGCCACGCGATTTACTCATTTGAAGAAATCGAAACGGAGACTGCGAGACGTAAATTCCGATGAGGTTATCGTTTCACCGCGACACGCGGAGCAACAATTCCGTTAAGATTCGGATATATCGCGCTTCTCGAGAAACACTTATTTCTCAAGTAAAATTAACTCACCGATCACCGGAGCACTGCCGAGAGATCCGCCAAATCACAGCCGGGAGGGTGAGACGTATACGGCGTCCAGCGCTACGGCATTCGGCATTTATTTCGCCCAGCGACGGCATCCCACTTCGTTTCACTCGACACAAGAAGGAACAGAATATTCGGCGTACGTTCAGCTTGCATTGGCTTGCAACACCCCGTAACCGGATTTCTTTTCGTTCACGAGAACAGAATTATACACGATCGACAAAACGTCTCGCGATCCGTCATTGAACGTGTCACGTCACGTTATTACTTGCGCGCGCCCTGCGCCGTTGCCGCCGCACAGTCGGGCGAGACGTCGAACGCGATTGGCTCGTGAGTCGAGCCCCCGGATCTGGCCAATCACGTCCCGCCGCTCCACGCAGCCGGCGCGCGGCGCGGCGGCTCGATCGCGTAAAGGCCTTGGCACTTGGCACATAGAAAAACAGTAAAACTCAAACAATAAACAAATCAGCCACGCACAGTCAAGAACTTAAGGCACGGCCCTAAGCGGTAGCGAATCCATACTGTTAATTATTTATTATTATTATATTTTTAATAATAACAACTTAAATGTATATTAAATAATACTAATTTTTGTATTAAATAATTTTTATGAATAAAAATTTGATATATTTTAAAAATATGATATAGAATCGATGTTATAAAATTATCAACAAGAATCGCGTAACAATTACATGGTATTGTTATGATGTATAAAGTTATATGATGAAATAGAAGAAAGCATCTCACTAAACAGTAGATTCATGCGCGGAAGAGTTTTATCTGCATTTTATAGTATAGTTTCAATGTCTAGACAGTGCTTGCATATTCATTATTCTTGCCGTACTATCAGTACTATCATGCATGAAGGGGGATCAGTCGATCAAATATAAAAACGTGACAACGTTGTCAAGGAAGTTTTTTATACATCATTTCCCTTTTAAAAATCAAGAGAATTTCAGATAACGATATGCATCGTGGTAAAAAAAAAGTAAGTCTAATTCTTTCCAGTTTGGAAAGTAATAATGCAAGGCACGCATTAGCACGCTCTTAGGGCGGCAGTGTGGTCTAGTGGTAGAGCGCCAGCCTCGTAATCTGAAGAACCAGGTTCGAGTCCACTAGAGCATGGAATTTATTTTCCGAAAGCTGCGCCCTCCGTGCAAGATAGGCTCTTGTGCGGAGCAAACTGGGCTCCGTCTTTCGGAAAGAGACGTTAAACCGTTGGTCCAAAGGGTTAAAGTGAGAGACAAAAATTATACAATTATTAATTATATTATTTGTTTGCATTTACATATTTGTTTCAAATAAATGTCCAATCTGTTTGGAAACAGACACAGTACGTACGATGCGGCCATTTATTTGGACGAAAATATAATTTTTGTGATAAGCTCTTCTCTCACTTAACCCTTTGGACCAACGGCTTAACGTCTCTTTCCGAAAGACGGAGCCCAGTTTGCTCCGCACAAGAACCTATCCTGCACGGAGGGCGCAGCTTTCGGAAAATAAATTCCATGCTCTAGTGGACTCGAACCTGGTTCTTCGGATTACGAGTCTGGCGCTCTACCACTAGACCACACTGCCGCCCTAAGAGCGTGCTAATGCGTGCATTGCATTATTACTTTCCAAACTGGAAAGTACGTAGACTTACTTTTTTTTACCACGATGCATATCGTTATCTGAAATTTTCTTGATTTTTAAAAGGGAAATGATGTATAAAAAACTTCCATGACAAATTTCTCGAGTTTTTATATTTGATCGACTGATCCCCCTTATTCATGATAGTACGGCAAGAATAATGTATAAGCTGTCTAGACATTGAAACTATACTGTAAAATGCAAATGAAACTCTTCCGCGCATGCATCTACTGTTTAGATGCTTTAGTGAGGTGCTTTCTTCTATTTCATCATATAACTTAATTTATACATCATAGCAGTACATGTAATTGTTACGCGATTCTTGTTGATTTGATGCGTCTACCCTGAAATTGTTTATCTAAAGATCTAACATTATAATATAAAACTCCGTTTTCCTTGAACCGTGCGCTTTTTATTTCAGCAATAGGTCTAAAAGTTTTAATTTCAATACGAAATTTCGTCTTGCGATACTTCGAGTGGAATAATAATAATTCTAGATGATAACCTAGATCAGAGATTTTAGAAAGCGATATCAATTAAATGATAGGTGTTCGAGGTTCCCGGTTTAGATGATAATTATATTATTTAAATATTATTATATTTTTAGATAATTTTACTCGAAAGGACACGTTCAGCACAGCTATATCTGAATTTTTATAAAACGTGGTATAAACCATTAATTATATCGGTAGTAAACGTGAATAGTACCAGATTAAATAAAATTAAATTATGCATTATCAGATAAAATCGAGCAATTAATAACTAATCTATATCGACGACAAAACCACTTATTGCTACGCTCCGCGAAAATAACAAATGCGTGATGCAATTTTAATTAATCTTTGACAATTCGAATTCGCACCATGTGTCAAAATTTCCTTTTACTTCGTCTTTAGAATATTTGTCAAAATTCTTTCTGCAACGTTGAGCTTCATCAAGCTTCATGGTTGCAATATGATTCCGATTGCGAAGCCAGAGCTTAAGATACTAGATAAAAATAAATTACATGTGTCGCGAAGGCCAGGATGCACTGCATGGCTGTTGCTCGGCCGTAAGAGTTGACTTATCGAATTTATTAATTACCGTGTCTTCAAGTTTTCTTTTCTTTTCTTTCTAAATCGTAATTTCATTTAATATCTTTTGCGTTTTAAACGGTGTTTAATATCTTGAAACTATCGAAACAGAAATACATGTAAAAATCTGTATCTTCTAACTTTTATTCTCATTATATGTCATACACAAAGCAGACTATACGTTTTCCAGTGTCGGCGATAATCTTCATCGGAATATTCAGCCGCCTGACGAGCAATGTGTACTTACTGATTATCTTGCTTCTGGGTGAAATCATGTTCGGATTGGATAGCTTTGGAGAATGGGAAGACCTGATTTTGTACAGAAACGAGAACAAAGCTGTCGTCGAAAGATCCGTTTGGAGTGACAAACTGTGCTCTGGTAACTCGGGCGAATTCTCCTTCATGAGACTCACCGACATCCGGCACATTGGGGTCTCCACCAAGATGGGTCTCTTTATTCTTCACAGGAACGGGAATATAATCGCTCTCAGTATGAGAGGCTTAACGAGAAAGGAGATACAGAGCTTAAGAAAAGAAATCAGTCATTTTCTAAACATGAGCCGGCTCAAATACCTCGATCATTCTCTGATTGATTCTTCGGATCGATTATTACTCCCTTCCGATTCCGAGGAATACTTGCAAAACTTGCCAAGAGCGGGTCTACCTACGTTCAACGACTTCACCGTCTCGGACAATGTTTTGGGCGGTACTTCGGGCAGGACGTGCTGTCAGGTGCAGCAGAATTTGAGTTACCCAAGCTTAATGCACGGAACGCAACTTAAGAGTTATCAATTGGCAAACTTGAGAAGAGGCCCTTATACGGAAAATTCAACGCGTTTCGATTACGTCAAGTATACCAGGAACACTTGCGCCATTCCCACACCTTGCAATTTATGCAAGCTTCATAAAGAATGTAATTAATCGAATGTCACTCGTTAATGTTGTACGTGTCCTCCAGATTACTAACATTGTAGCTAATTCGAGATTATAAATAAATTTGCAAACAAGATCTTATTTATTCATTCTATGTTACGATAAACAATTTATTACTAAATAACAATAATTTCTGTTTGAAAATATCAGAGGATACATTAAAACTTGATTCATCATCAGTTATCAACAAATCTGTTATCAACAATCAGAATAACATATGTT